AACAACAACAACTGGATTTTAGTTTCTGTATCCTTAATTGCAGAAACTGTAAAATAAGTTGGGTTTTTTTTCCCCTTTGTTCTCCGGTTAACATTTGTATCAGTGCTCTAGTGTGGCTATAACAAAGTACCGTTAAGTGAGCGGCTTATACGATCAGGATTGGATTCTCTCCCAGTTCTGGGGGCTGGGAGTCAGAATTAAGTGTGTCAGTGGGGCCTCACTTTCCAAACATGCTACAGGATCATGCACCCTTGCTTCCTCCAGCTTCTGGTGGCTACAGGTATCCTTTGGCTTCTCCCAGGCTTCTAACCGGTTCAAAACAGTTCAGCTTCAATAACTGCCTTCATAAACAAGGGCCGTCCATGTATGAAATGCATACAGCCAAATCCGTTGTCCTTGGTGTTTTGACCCGAGTAAGAAAGAAACAGCAGTGCCCCACTCAAAGAGGGCAAGAGACTGCACTGTGAGTGTGTGTTGCGTTCCTTTGTCCTGCCAATGTTGTTATTGTTGTTGTTAAATGCTGTCAAGTCAATACCGACACATAGTGACCCTATACAGGGTTTCCGAGGAGTAGTTGGTGATCTTGAACCATCGACCTTGCAGTTCAAATGGGTTTGCAGTCTGGCACATTAACCCACAGCCCCACAACAGAACTCCAGTGATAGTGCTCACCAAAAGTCCTGTTGTAGTCCTTCATCTTCTCCTGATGTGGGAGATTGGACTCTGGAGAGCAACTCACATTTAAAAGGGTGCAGTTGGCCGCTATCTTTGAGGGGGTGGGGGGGAACAGCTGTAGCTGTTTTGTTTCCTATTGTTGTTGCTGAGTGCCGTCAAGTGGTTTCGACTCATTGTGATCCGCGCGAGAAAGATGAGGTTTTTTCCCCTGCTTCTGTAAAGATGTATAGCCTCAGAAACCCTACACAGGGTCACTATGAGTCAGAACCGACTTCACGGCACATAACCACCACCATAGGGTCTCAGAGGAGTGGCTTATGAGTTTGAACCTCAGACCTTTTGGTTAGCACTCCAGTACTTTTCTTAAAATGCCACACCAGGACTCCTACCAGGTCAAAGTGCCACAGACGGCAGCTCTGGTTGCTATGAAATGGATAGACAACCCGTGTTGATGATGGGAGTCACTGAACCTGAACGGGTGTAAACCAGTTAGAAGCCCTGCTGTGGCCACTTCACTCTGACCTCCGCTTCTGTCTTCACATGGTTGTGTGTGTGTTTGTGTCTTCTCTTGGATAAGACACCAGTCTTACTGGATGAGGTCCTACCTATTGTAGTATGGACTTCTGGTGTGGCGTTGCCGGTTAATGCGATAAACTGCAACGGCAGTTTGGGCCGTTAAGGCCAGCAGTTCCAACTCACCAGCTGCTCCTTTGGAAACCCTGTACAGGATCACTATGAGTCGGATCCTGACTCGATGGCACTTAGCAACAACATTGTAGTAGGACTTCAAGAACTTAACTACTAACTTACGTAAATAAAAGCCTTATATCCCCAAACAAGGTCAGCTTCACAGGTACTAGGGGTAAGGCGTTGACTTAATCTCTTTTATTGAAGTTGTTGTTGTTGTGAAGTGCCTTCGAGTCGGTTCCGACCCATAGCGACCCTGTACAGGGTTTCCGAGGGTGTAAATCCTTACGGGAGTAGAAAGCCTCATCTTTCTCCCGCGGAGCAGCTGGTAGTTTCGAACCACTGACCTTAAGGTTCGCAGCCCGATTCGTAACCACTACGCTACCAGAGCTCCTTCTTTTTTTGAAGGGAGGTACACAATTCAAGCTATAACACGGAGCAAGGAGGAGCGCGCTCAACCTAGCTCTGCCTTTATTTGCTGTGTGATCTTTAATTTTTTTTTTTCAGACAACACATAGTTTTATTGCTTCACAAAGTTTCCTCATACAACGTTATAATCCCTGCCCTCTGTTCTTCCCTATTTCCCCACATAGGTCAAGCAAAACAGCGACTAGTTTTCTGTCATTATGGATGTATGTAATAGGCGGAATCCTAACACGACACAAAATGAGTGAAGTCCTGTGTAATCCTGTCCCCTTGACTGACGACCAGCCTATGATTTACTTCTAGATAAGGAATATGGTAAAACTAATGAGATAGCCACTTCTTATTTATGTAAACTTACCTAGAATTTCATCTTAGTTGACTATAGGGAGAGATTCTCCTACTAACTTTTCAAAATAGGACCCTTAATTAACAGCATATTTGACTTTTTCTTCTCGAGTTGCCCTTTGAAATTTTCTGTTTAGCTCTTTCCTTTCCTTATTTCTTCTCCTTGTGTCAGCATATCTATACTGGAGAGCAAGTTTCAGAGTCTCTTTTAACATCTTTTCATTCATTCTTGTCTTCTAAATGACATTTTGCTTTCTTCTTGTATGATTTTCTTCATGTCACTCCATAACTCTTTTTGGTCTTAGGTCATTAGTATTTAATGCATCGAAAGTGCCCTTGAGATGATCTTTTAATTCAGGTGGGATAGCTGTGTGACCGTAAGCCACACGCAAACATCTCTGAGCCTTGTTTCTCTGTCTGGAATGGGTCGGACTGCTTGGCATGGGCAGGGACCCTGATACTGGCCACCTGTGGATGTGGGGAAAAGCATGTGCCTGGCTCCCTGATGACTGATGTTGGGGCTTCCCTGTGTCCCCAGGAGCGGTTGAACTCTCCCGGCGCCATCCCCTCGCATCCTGGCTCTGTGCCATGCTGCACTGCTTTGGGAGCTACATCCTGGCTGACCTCCTGCTCGGGGAGCCCCTCATCGACTACTTCAGCAATAATTCCAGCATCCTGCTGGCCTCGGCTGTGTGGTGAGCTGCTGTGAGGGTGGGGAAGCCAGGCTGGTGGGCAGGGGTGTGTTCCTGTGTCAGCTGTGCAGACTGCAGGAGGAACAGACAGACACCACGCATCAACCACCAGCCACCCCGACCACCTCACCCCATGCCAGGTCTGCCCCGAGCTCTGCATGGTGCACAGGGTGGGAGGATCTGGACAAGCTCCAACAAATTGGTGGAACTGTAAGTCAAGTGCAGTGTGGGAAAGAGGAGGCAGGTTGGTCATGGGAAGGAACTGCGTTTTGCCTATACTTGTTCTCGGTGTATAAGCATTTAGGCACCCTGGTGATGCAAAAAAGTTAACTGGAAGGTGGGTGGTTCAAACCAACCCAGTGGAAATCTGCTCTTATAAAAATTACAGTCAAGAAAACTCTGAGGTAGTTCTACTTTGTCACATGGACTCAATGTGACTCGCTTCAATTGTGGTTCTTCAAACCTATCATGATGTGTGCTTCTCAGCATCCTGAGGGCAAGTCTAGTGTTTAAAGGCTCCTAGGTGGTGCAAACGGTTTGCACTCAGCTGCTCACCTAAAGGCTGGAAATTTAAAGCCACTCAGCAATGCCATGGAGGAAAGACCTGGTGATTACAGCCAAGAAAAACCCAATAGAGCAGTTCTACCAGACAACAAAGGAGGTTGCCATGGCAACCACCACCACCACCAAGTCGGTTATGTATATTTCCAGGTTCCAGAGACAGTGAAGACACAGCACAACATAAGCAGGGCCACATGTGGGGAGCTGCACCCTGGGACGAGCTGGAATTGCAGGACACATTTATGTATGACATGCGGAGTGGGGTTAGTGAGTTTGTGTAGGCTTCCTGAAGAGTGGGCATTTAAAAAAATTCTGCAAGTCTGTCCTTAGGTGTCTGGAACCTGGTTGCAGGGTGATTAGGGTAGATGCTTATGGCCCAGGAATGTGAGAATCCAGTAAGGGGAGTGTTTGGAAGGTGTGCTTAATCAGTTGCTCAAGAAAGAGAACAAGGACCCCTGGATGTTGCAAATAGTTTGTTCTCAGTGGCTAACAGAGAGTTTGACAATTGAGACCCATCCAGTGGAACTGCCAAAATAAAACCTAGCAGTTGACGCCCGTAAAGATTGTCGTTAGCTGCTGTCAAACTGATTCTGAGTCCTGGCGACCCCATGCCTACAAAGTAGAACTGTCCCACAGGGTTATCAAGGCTGTGACCTTGGGAAGCAAGACTGTCAGGCCTGTGTTTTGAGATGCTCTGAGCAGGTTCTAACCACCCATCTTTAACCCTGTGTGCCACTCGGAGCCTTCTCCATTAAGACTATAGCCAAGAAAAGCCTGTGGAGCGGTTCTACTCTACAGCCAAAAGAAAGAAGGGAACAGGCCATCTTCAAGTCAGGGCCTCAAGTCAACACAGCTTTTAAAGCAAATAGAAATTGCAAACATGACCTCCTCTCCAGGGGCCCTGGCTGCTCCCCAACACTTGGCGCTCTCTCCCAAAAGGTACCTGACCTTCTTCTGCCCCCTGGACCTCTTCTATAAGTGTGTCGGCTTCCTGCCTGTGAAGCTTATCTTTGTGGCCATGAAGGAGGTGGTGAGGGTCCGAAAGATCGCAGTAGGCATCCACCACGCGCACCACCACTACCACCACGGCTGGTTTGTCATGATCGCCACCGGCTGGGTCAAAGGTAAGTAAAACAGCAACCGTGCAAATGGCCCCAGTTTGGCCATTCCACCCATTGGCACAGCCATCGTTCCAGGCTGGGGGAGTGTCAGACCAAAAGCTAGAGTCCAGGTCTCCTCACTTGCCAATATCTTTGGGGAACTTGGGAAGATTCTTCCAGAAATGTAACTACCAAAGTTAACAAGAAGGATCATAACAACAGCAGTAGCCAATATCTCTAGGCCAGGGATTCTTAATCACAGCAATTTGGGACCTGTTTTTTGTTGTCTCATTCAGAGGTTGGCAGTTTGAGCCACCCTGTGGTATGGCGGAAGAAAGATCTGCTAATCTGTTTCCATAGATTCCAGCCAAGCAAATTTTATGGAGCTCAGTTCCTCTCTGACATACATGGGGTTGCAGTGAGTCAGAATTTACTCATTGGCCCCTGTGTGGTGTTTAATAGTTTACACTCAACTGTTAACCTAAAGGTTGGAGGTTCAACCCACCCACAGGGGTCAAGGAAGAAAGGCCTGGTAATCTGTTTCCAAAAAGACACAGACAAAAATTGCCACAAATGATGGCTTTAAAGAGGGATTTATTGTCTCACAGTTTGGGATCTAGTGAAGGGCCCTTTTTTCTTACGCCTCAGTTTGTGTGCGTATGTGTGTATGTGTGTTGATTCTGCACTTTTTATAAGATACCATTCAGAAGGAACTAGGTTTAGGATCCACCCTATTCTGCTGTGACTTGAATAACACAACAAAAGAAAATCCCTATTTCTAAACAGGGTCACATTCGAGGCACAGAGATTAGGACTTTTACATTTCTTATTTTGGGAAGATACAGCTTAATCCATAACAGAGCTGGATCATTCTGTGTTGGGGGCTATCCTGTACATGGCAGGGTGTTGAGTAGCTTCCCTAGTCTCTCTGTCCCAGATCCCAGTGGTAACCCCTAACTGTGACAACTGAAAATGTCTCCAGGCATTGCCATTGTTCCCTGCCCCACCCCATGTCAGAATCCAGGTGAGGTATAGTGTGAAATCAAGAGTACATATCAGCCTTCCTACCTCACCCCCAGTTGTAACATACAGTACTTACCAGTCCCCCCAAATCCCAGTTGGCTCACCTATTCCTCCACATTTCCCAAGCCTCCTCATTAGCCACTTCTTTTGGGGTAGATGGAAAGAATCTTTCAGAAATTTAACTGTATATCTCCACTTGGATCTTGTTAATTATCTTTCTCCAGAAAGCCTGTACTACAAAGCAGTTTCCCCAGGGGCATAGCATGCCTCCCTGAAGGAGGGAGGAGGGCTTGGGAATGATCAGAAGCTCAGAGCCTAAGGAGGAGAAAGAGAATTCTAGAAGTCTGTGCAGACCACCCAGGTGTGTCCAAGACCTGCCTTGCCGGGGAAAGAGGGAGAATTATTCCTTATCTTAGTTTCTGAATGTTGAGATATAACAAAAGAGAGTGGTTTTCATTGAAAGAAGTTTATTTTCAGACAGTCAGGAGGCTAGAAGTCCAAATTCGGTGCTGGCTCTGGGGGAAGGCTCCCTGTGCTTTGTGGGAAATGGTCCATGTTTTGCTTTTTCTCACTGTTCCTCTCTGTCATATGGTTTGTGCTTACGAGTCTCTCTGTCTGTACTAATCCTTACAATTTAGAAGTGATTAGGGTTAGGACCCATCCTATAGTGCTTCAAAAAGTTTGTGGAAAATGGAATTAAAAGAATGGAATTTGTCCAGTTTTCAAAAAGACTTTTTATTGTGACTGAGTGAAGGTTTACAAAGTAGATCATCAATTTTACATTCAACAAATTATACACTTGGTTTCATCTCAGTCACAATCCCTTCAATGTAACATCGCTTATCCCACCTCCTCCCTGTACTTATTTCCATTCCTCCTTCTCATGCCCCCCCCCCCCCACATTCTGAATTTTGCCCTTAGGTAAATGCTGCTTTTTAAAAAATCTTGGATGGGGGCCCATTCTCTGGTATACATACCTCACTAATGGTGTTGTTCCTCCTATAGATCTATCTATTGGGCTGAGTTCAGTTCCAGACCTGAAGGGTGACCAAGGGTCATAGTCTCGGGGTTCCACCAGTCTCTAGCTGGCCAATAAACCTGATCTCTTATATGATATTGAGTTCCCCATTTTCTCCTACTCCATTCAGGACCTTCTAATAAAATCTCTTTCCGAGCCTTTGATGGTGGTGGCTGGGTACCATCTAGTTCTTCTGGTCAGGGGTGTGGAGACTGATGTTCACATGGTCCATTATTTCACAGGGCTAACTGTTTCCAAGAATCTTCAGTTTTCATCACTCTTGTTCCTTCCACAAATTTTCAAAGCCCTCTCAAACTGTCTCATTAACATCACAAAGAAAGCCCTGGTCCCAAATGAGATCACATCCATAGGTATGTAGTTGTTAGCTGCTGTTCACCCTATTCCAGCTCACGGTGATATGTGATGGTGATGGTGGTTGTGTGCCGTGGAGTCGGTTCCGACTCACAGCAACCCTGTATAGGCTTTCCAAGGCTGTAAATCTTTACAGGAACAGAAAGCCTCATCTTTCTCCCGTGGAACAGCTGGTAGTTTTGAAATTCTGACCATGAGATTAGCAGCCCGACACGTAACCGCTATGCTACCAGAATTCCTTCATATGTATCAGAGTAGAATTATGCCATAAGGTTTACAAGTTGTGGCCTTTCAGAAACAGATCACCAGGCCTTTCTTCTGAGGCACATCTGGGTGGATTTGGACCACTAATCTTGTGGCTAGTAGTCACACCCTTAACTGTTTGCACCATCTGGGAACTCCTATGAACAATTATAGGGGTTAGGAGTCCACACATATCCATATCTTTTTTTAAAAATCACACACTGCCATCAAGTTGATTTGGCCTCACAGTGTCTCTATGAGACTGAGTAGAGACTCCATAGGGTTTCCAAGACGGGAAATCTTTACAGAAGCAGATTGCCACACCCTTCTAAACAGCTGGCCTTCCAGTTAGCAGCTGAATGCTTAACTGCTGTGCCACCAGGGCTCCTATATATACAACAAAACCCAACCCACTACTGTCCTGTCGATTCTGACTCATAGCGACCCAACAGGACAGAGTAGAACTGCTCCCTACAGTTGCTGAGGCTGTAGATCTTTATGGGAACAGATAGCCTCATCTTTCTCCTGCAGTGCAGCTTGTGGGTTTGAAATGCTGACCTTGTAGTTAGCAGCCTAACGCATAACCCACTACACCACCAGGCTTTCCTCCTACACAAAAACTTTGTGGAAAACTCCCATGATCTTTTAATGCCATTTTCCCATAAACTTTTTGAAGCCCCCTCGTATCTTGGGGAGGACACAATTCAATTTCTAATGGTCCTTCATACTGATTCTGCTCTGAATGTGTCACATGACCCTCTGAGCCTCAGCCCCCCCACCCAACACATACACTCAGGCTGCACATCCCTCAGGAAGTCCCTGGAGTTGCCAGGCTGCCCCTCAGGCATGAAGCTGGGGTGGCTCCTTCCTACGCCCTCTGCCTTAGGCTCTGGAGTTGCCCTCATGTCCAACGTGGAGCAGCTTCTCCGAGGCGTCTGGAAGCCGGAGACCAATGAGATCCTGCACATGTCCTTGTGAGTAGTTGCCTGCCCACCCTCAGTCATGGGTCATGACCCTCAGTCATGGGTCAGGGGAGCCCAATGAGGGACCACAGCCCCAGGGTGGCTGAATGGCAGAAAGGAGGTGACACTCAATCTGGGTTTTGAAGAGTAAGCAGGACTTTCAGCAGGACGACTAGCTCTCCAAAGCTTCAAGTGAGGGAAGAGAAGATGGGGTTCAGTTCCCAGGGGCTGGGAGGGGAGAGTGGGATGAGTGTATAGTTGGGTGGGGAGTGAGGAGTGGGGAACATGAGGACAGTAGTAGAAAGCATGACTGCCCAGTTTCCAGCCCCTCCAGAGGGACCCCCACCATGAATCCCACTGTTGACATACACCATCTGGGATAGCCCAAGGCCCCAAGTAAACAAAGATGTTCCAAGACCTTGGACTTCACCTTACAGAATTCAAGGTCAGATCTCTGTTCTGGCAAGGTTAACCCTTTCCTACACATGACAACTTCACCTCATTCAAACTATCAGTGTATCCTCCTGCCTCACACTCAGGAGAAGCTGGGGTGGGTGTGGGGTCTGGGAACCTCTGGATCTTCTAGCCTCGTTCGGAGTCCTGATCAGCAGCATCGCTTCCTTCCAGCCCCACCAAAGCCAGCCTGTACGGAGCTGTGCTCTTCACCCTCCAGCAGACACGCTGGCTCCCCATCTCCAAAGCCAGTCTCGTCTTCATCTTCACCATGTTCATGGTATCTTGCAAGGTAAGTCTCCCTCAGGGCGGGACTGGGGGCAGGGCTCAGGGGCCAGCACTGAAAGGGGAGGAGTTTCAGTGCGGAGTCTTCCTGTGGGTGGTGTGGGCTCTGAGAAGAGCAAAGTCCAGCAGGTGGGGTGAGGATGGGCCCTGCCCTTGGAATGCCAGGTGCATTTGGAAGATGAGAGGAATTGGAACCCAGGAAGAGGCATGGCGGCTGGGGGATAGGTAGTAGGACCTTTAGACAGTACTGGTCTCTACCGGGTCTCTAGCTGAGATCCCCCAACAGGGAAGGGCCTCAGGGCCATTCCCTCCTCCTTCCTTGACCATACATAGGGAAGGGTCCTCCCATAAGCTCTGATTTCAGGGGAGGAGGAGAGGGAAGCAGAGTTTCCCAGTTCCTTGCTGTCCCTTGTTTGCTGTGTAGTACCAGGCTATGCCCTGCACCTCTCAGAGCCCAGTGGAAACCATTATTGGGGAGGTGGGCATGCCAATCCTGGTTTTAGCACCAGAAGCCCCACATCCCAGGTCCTACACCCCAGAAGGGTGGGGTCTCTCATGGGGGCATGCCCAGTTAGAGATCAGGGTGGGTGACCTCTACCTCTAACCCTGCTAACCTCTATCCTTTCCTGCCCCCTTGCCACCTCCCCACCTCCTTCAGGTGTTCCTGACAGCCACCCACACCCACAGCTCCCCCTTTGATGTCCTGGAGAGCTACATCTGCCCTGTGCTGTTTGGGGCCACCTGGGGAGGTGACCATCACCATGACAACCATGGGGGCCATGGTGGGGCCCACGGCAGCAGCCTGGGGGCCATGCACGCACCCCTGCCCTCCAAGTCCAAGGACGAGCTGAGCGAGGGCTCCAGGAAGAAGAAGGCCAAGAAAGTAGATTAGGGGGCAGCCCAGGGGAGGGGGCATCCTGGGCTCTGCTCATCCCCCTTGGGCCCTGACTCCCTGTCTGCAAACTGGGGCCAACCACCCACCCCTGGGGCTGATGGAGTTCAGTAAGATTTGGGGATGTCAGAACAGGATTCCCCCTTTCTCTGTCAAGCTCCTTGTAAAGTCCTAGCTTTCAGGGGAGGAGGCCCCACACAGAAAAGCCCACCAGCAGTACCAGCCCAAATCCCGACAGTAATAGTCTCAGTTCTACTTTTTTCCTGCTCTAAAAAGAATGTTAAGGGACTCTGAGTGATTTATTTGCTGGACGTGTCCTGAGTCCCTGCCCTGTTCCAAACCTGCCCCCAGCACAGAGGCACAGGCTCCCCAAAGCATAGACCATTTCTCTGTGCACAGAAGTCCCAAGGAAGTTACCACCCTTCTCTGAGCCTCCTGTTCTGCCTTGGTACAATAGACAGGGGCCTCTTACCTGCCTCTGTACAAAGGGGCCACCTGTCCCGAGAGGAGCTTCACATTGACACGAACAAGCCTCATAAGCTCACAGTGGCATTGGGAGGGTTTGTTAATGATCATGGAAAGTGGTTTTGCATTTTAGATTGATTGTCTTTTGGATCAGGGAGCCCACCAGTAATGGCCCAGAGGAGGTCTCCACAGGACATGTCCAGACTGAGCTTCAGAGCCTGGGGCATGGGGAAGGCTCTTTCAGACCCTGAATCTAAGAAGATCTACAGGCTGGGCTGGTATTTTAGACCCAGCTCTGCCAGGAGTCCAGAGCGCTTCCCATGTGCCTTGGACATATCAGGACTTCCTCATTAGGCCACCTTCACTCTGGCTCCTTTAAAAATTCAACAAACATCTGGGGGTCTGCTCTGTACTGAGCCTTAGGGTAGAGCAGGAACTTGCTTCAGGGAGAGCGAAGGCATGATCCTAGGCTACCAGGAGAGGTCAAATAAAATGAGATGTCCAGGTGTGGAGGTGGGCTTGGGCTATAAGTGGGTGTTCACGGCATCTGCCAACAACTAGGAGCAGGCTAGGGATCAACATGAAGTTGGCCAGAACTTGATGGCGGTCCCAGGGGTTGTCCAGCTGTTGGGAAAGTGCCTTTTTCCAAGTGATGCCCAGAAGTTGGGTGGGTTCTGAGGCCATCACGCCCCCAAGTTCATCGCCTTGCATAGTCATGAAGAGTCAGCCAATAAAACCATTGTGAATGACCTCGGACACTGGTCTGATTGGTTCTCACACTCTCAACCTCAAATTGGAGTATACAGGGGGTGTCTGTGTCCCCCAGATGTTCTGAACTTCCACTGGAGGGCTGGCCAAGGGAGCTCTGGATTGCCAGGGAAGGTGGCGGCACTGGAGAAAGGCTATGGGATTTTGGGTCAAGTGGGCCTGGATTCGAATCCCAGTGTCTTTCAGCAAGATCACATCCTCCAGAACTTCATATAGAAGAATGATCAGACACATAAAAGATGCAGTAAATATACTTCAAGGAATTAAAAGCCAAAGAAGGACTCAAATTAGAAAAGAACAAGATGCTTTTAAAACTGGACTTTCTTAATCCCTAACCAGCAAATAATTTATACACACATAATTTCTGCAAAGAAGTTAGTAGTAAAGGAAGAAAATTGAAAAGAGGGCAAGATGTGTAAATAGGCCGTTTCAATGAGATTAAAATGATGACTATGAAAGACACTGATCCTAGTGGTAATTAAGGAAATAGAAACTAAGCCCACCATTAGATGCTGTTGTAGTCCCCTAAATGAACCTTAGTGGCACAGTGGTTAAGCACTCAGCTGTTAACCAAAGGGTTGGGAGTCTGTCCGGTGAATACAGCCGCTCCATGGGAAGAAGATGTGGCAGTCTGCCTCCGTAAATGTTGTTACGTACTGCGGGGTCGGCTCCAACTCATAGTGACCCAATGCACAACAGAACAAAACACTGCCTGGTCCTGCGCCCCTCACTATTGTTAAGCTTGCGCCAACTGCTGCTGCCACTGTGCATCTCATTGGGTGTCTTCTTCTTTTTCGCTGACCTTCCATTTTACCAAGCATGATGTCCTTCTCCAGGGACAGGTCCCTCCTGAAAACATGTCTGAAGTAAGGAGCTCTGGTAGTGTAGTGGTTATGAATCAGGCTGTGAACCTTGAGGTCAACAGTTCAAAACTACCAGCTATTCCAGGGGAGAAAGATGAGGTTTTCTGCTCCCATAAAGATTTACATCCTTGGAAACCCTGTACAGGGTCACTATGAGTCAGAACCGACTCCACGGCACATCACGATGATGATCTATAATATATAAGGAACCCCCAAAACTCAACAATAAGACAACAGACCTATATTTAAATGGGTAAAAGAGACTGGGTAAACAATGTGGGCCACCCATACAATTCAGCAATAAAAAGGAATGAAGTCACACACTTGTGGCAATATGGATGAACCTTTTAAGTATTACACAGTGAAATAAGTTAGCACTTTTACTTATTTATTGCTTAAGTTCTATCTTAATTTGAAGGGGGAGGGGAGGAGGAAGAGAAAGAGGAGATGATGGAGGAAGAGGAGGAGGTGGTGATGAGTGGAGGAAGAGGATGTGGTGGAGGAGGAAGGGAAGAGATGATGGAGGAGGACAAGGAAGTAATGAAAAGGAGGAGAAGGATGAGGGGATAGAAGTAGGAGGAGAAGGGGAGGAGTGGGGAAGGAGGAGGGCTGGTAAAGCTTCTAAAGACCTCCTGCTGGCTCCTCTGGCACCTGGCAAAGTGAGATAAGGTGCTTCCAGTGTTCCCACCCAAATCCCTGGGGCACAGACTGTACCAACATATACCTCAACCTATTCAGCCCTGGCGCCTCCGGAGGACGTTCAGGCTGATTTCAACTGTGGGAGTCACTCAGTAGTTTGCTTGGTCTCCAATGAAGAGGAAGATTCTGGAAGGTTGTGTAGCATGAAAGATGAGACAGATGTGGAGCCTTGGGGTACCTGGGTCTAATATCAACAAGAAAGAGAATAATGTCCACCTTCTAGGGCTTTGGAGGTACCCTGAGATGAGCACTGAACCTGCCTTAGACCTGTAGTCATCATTGTTGCAAGACCCTGAGGAGGGCCGTAGGAGGGCCTGGGGCTGCTGTAACAAATGACCGCAAACGAAGCTTCTACAACAGAAATTTACTTTGTCACAGTTCTGGAGGCCAGAAGTCCTACATCAAGGTCAGCGCTGGCAGGGCGGGAGGTTCAGGCAGGGAGTGGGGGACAATTCTTTGTCTTTCCCAGCCTCTAGTGGCTCTAGGCATCCCTGGGCTTGTACTGCCTCCATCACCATGTGACCATCTGTTATGTATTGAATTGTGCCCCACCCCCTCAAATATGTGTTGAAGTCCTAACCCCCATACCTGTATGAATATGGCCCTATTTGGTAAAAGGGGGCTTTGTTTTATGATGTGAATGAAGCTGTACCAGGGAAGGGTGGGCCTTAAACATAATCACTCCTGAGTTATCCACAGAGCAGGTAAGACACAGAGACAGACACACACACGGGGAAGACGGACACTACGTGAGCATAACATCTGTCAGTCAAGGCATCAAAGAACAACTACAACTACCCACAAGCAAGGAATTGACGTGGCTGAAATTCTGATTTGGATGCCTACCTCCAGAACTGTGAGAAAATAAACTTCTGTTCATTAAAGTCCCCCACTTGTGATGCAAGCTGAAGTCAAGAAGTATTGGTACCAGGCTTCCAGTTCATGTATGCACGGATTTATTCCAAACAAAACATGTTTGAGTGTGTCTCTACGACCAGACAAGTTGTCCCAGTAATATGCTTGTCTTAGTCTCATTAAAGTGCCTTTAAAAAAACAAAACCTTCAAAACTATGACTACTCAGGGATTCTGCTGGGCCAGTGAAGTCAGCTGAGAAGGTTGTTTTTGAATTCTCACGGGATCATCTTGATAGATTTTCCTCAAAGAACACAGGACAATCACAGGGCTTATTATAAAAGGAGGCTGGACTGCCAGAAGAACAAACCAATCTGTTAGGAGAAGTACAGCCAGAGTGCTCCTTAGAAGCCAGGATGGCCAGACTTCATCTCTCATACTTTGGACACATTTTCAGGAAGGGCCAGTCCCTGGAGGAGGACATGATGGTAAAGTGGAGGGGTCAGCGAAAAAGAGGAAGACCCCCATCAAGATGGATTGACACAGTGGCAGCAGCAATGAACTCAAGTGCGGCAAAGATTGTGAAGTTGGTGCAGGACCCAGCAGTGTGTCATTACGTTATGCGTAAGGTTGCTAACAACAAGGACATTGAAAACTACATGGGGGAGATAAAGTGGCACCAAGGAACTCTTGGCCATCATGACAATGTCCCTCCTCCTTTTCAAGGCTAACAAGGATGTCCTATAAAACTTTCATTGAGAAACCTTACTCCATTCACCCTATACCCCTGACCTTACCCCTTCAGATTTCTTTTTGTTCTCCAACAGAGAACATTTAAGAGGACCAATGTGCGTACATGGAGAGTGGCAAAACTGCTGTTTCGATGCAGTGTAAATGGAAAAGCAGAATTCTCCGTGGAAGGGTTGGAGAGATGGAGAGATCGCCTTCAGAAGTTGTAGACCTAGCTGGAGGAGATGGTTAGAACAACAGCTTCACACGTCACCATTTTTGTTGAAAGTTTCTGTGATTTTGAAGCAGTCCTTTTGGACTTACCCTGGTGTCTCTGTAACAGTGGCGCTGGAAGCTAAGGCAGGAAGGGGTGATATAAGGTGTGAACATCAGGAGGCCGGGACACCTGGGGGCGTGTTAGACGCTGCCTCCCAGTCACCTAAGCAAATCCAGACCAAGACTGAATCTAGGAGTTATTACTAAGTGCTTGCCACCTGCCAAGCCCTGAAGAAGATTTTTTACATCTAGTATCATTTGAGCTTCATATGGTGGCTACAACAATGGGCTCCAATTTACCAACCATCCTGAGGATGGCACAATACCAAATGCACTGCTATCTAGCTGGTTCCGACTC